CTACTGGATTTAACATATTTCAATCAGGTTTCTGTAAAATCCAAATTAAACCAATTTAAAATAGTTGGTTTTCTGGTTGTTCTTGGTCCTGTTTCTGTTGTTTTTGACTCTTTCTGGTCCTGTTTAAATCTACTCTGCCTCCATCTGCTAGTGGTAGGAAGCTGAGCTGGTGTGCCTGCCCACAGCTCTCCTACCCTGGAGCCTGCTTCAAAACTGGAGGCAGTGCACTCTCTTCTGCTAGTCTATAAAATGGTCCTGGTCTGGGGGAACCGCTCAGCAGGGTTAAGAGAGTTTACTGCCCAGGTATGATCTGAGCTCAGGTCCCCCCAATCTCATTAGGGTTGTGCTCTCATATGTAGCTCCAGCACAGTGGGTGGTGAAAAGGAAGATTGCTTAGGTCCAAGTTCAGTGATGGACTGGTGTCCTCTTCAGGCCTGTAGGCAGACATACAAACAGAACACTGTATACATAATAAATAAATACATGAATTAATAGATGTTAAAACAAAACAAGGCTGCTTCTGTGGCCAATGGGGCTTGGAATGTGAGGTCAAGAGAGAGGCTGAAGCCTGGTCATCAGTATATGAAGGATGTGGCAGGGTGAGGGGAGATGCTTGTAAATAAGTAGGACAACTACAAGGTGTGGGGTTGTTAAAGAGGCTGACACCACCTGCTGCTGCCCTTCCTGTATCCCAACGGGAAGAAAGCACCAGAAAGTCCACTTCCTGGTGAGAATTGGGAAGTGAGACATGGGACCATGACCTCAGCTAGGGCAAGAGGAAGATGGAAGGCTGGAAAGGCCTGGGAGACTGAGGCAGGGGTAGGAGGAATGGAGGATTTCACCAGAATCCTGGACTTCAAGAAAGCAATAATGACAAGCAGAAGGGCCAGGTGACGACGGGGTGCCAAGAACATAATACCAGATACCCTGGGAGTGGCAGGAGACTCTAGGGCCTCTCTGAGGTCATCCACTCCCTGACAAGTGAATTCTCACGGTCTTTGGTAGGTCTATCAACACACAGAAAAGGGAAGCATGGTTGTTTTACTCCCAAAGGTCTGGGAGATATTTAATAGAAGATTCCAGAAATGGAAGATAATGTAGCTGGAGAGATTGAAGGGTGAGGAATTCAGGAGAGTGCAACAGGTTCCCGTTGGCCTCTGAAGTAGTCCTGTGAGGCAGGAGTTAGGGAAGTGTTCCTTGTCCTAAGGATGGGGATAAGACAGTATCATGAAGGGTGAGTTGAAGATCATGAGACCCATATGTCAAGTCCATAACCAGTACTTGGTAAATAAACCACATCAGGGATGAGGAGGCTGGGGTTGGGTGCTTAGTCCTAGATATCATGAGTATGCAGCCGAGAAAGTGTCCCATAGGGTTCTCCAATGAACCTCATCTATGGAGGCTCTTCTAGCTCAAGAGTTTCCTGGCCTCCCCTTCCTCCTAGCTCTGCCACAATCCAGCAGCAGCCACTAGCATACTTGCATACCAGACTTCAGGCTGGAGCGTAAGAATGGGTGAGTCTCCTAATAAATCCCGGTGATATGACCAGTGTCAGATAGAGATCATTTGGAACACTAGGTAGTTATTACCAGTTTGGCAGATAGGAAGGGCAAAACCCTGTAACCTGCTTTTACCCTTTATATCAGAGTACATCTCTCAAATCTGCAGAAGTAGAGCAAACTAGAAGACTTGGGGAGAGGAGACTGGGGACCTTGTGTGGCCTATGGGAGTAGCCAGGAATGCAGCAAGCTAATGGCAGTCTGGATAGGATGGCTAAGCAAAGGGAGCCAAGCCCTAGAATTACAAGTGTCTCAAATAATTTGGTTTTGTATTTGTAGTAGGGGATGGTTGTGGTGATATCTTGCTTTTACAAATAAAGCCTTCTGAAATGCAGAGGATGGAGCTTGTCACTAGCTAACCAGAGAGGTCTGGAGGTCTATACAGATAGGCAGGAAGTGATACGGCTGGGCGGAGAGAGAATGTAAGCGAAAAGAAACAGGAACTTGTTCTCTCGTCTCTGAGATGTTAAGTAGGGAAGGTGTGGTTGTGGCTTGCTTCTTCTCGCTGATCTCAGCATTTTCCTCTATATCTGACTCGGGGTTTTTATTATTTAGACAAATTAAGAACTTCTTTTTACAGATGGTCGTCTGGAAACTAAGGACCAGCGATGTGCCAGGTCCTGGTACAAGAAACAGTAGTTGATGGACATGGTGTGTCTGTCAAATTGCTTCTTAAATACTCAGGTTTCTGGTCATAGATGAGGGCTGCTATCAGTTACTACAGAGCTCCATAATCTCTCAAAGTGCTCAGAACCAGTGTCTGTTGAGTGGTCACTAAATGAGACATCTATAGCATCCCCTCCCAGATGCAGGGAACAGCAAGGAAGAAAGAGCAGAGGGAAAAAAAAAGGAAATGAAAAAAAGTTTTTTCTTGCACAGGGGCCATGCTAACCTTTTCTCTGTTATTTCTATTTGAGTGTATGTGCTGCCAAAGTGAGCATGAAAAATGTTTTGGAAGGAAGGAAAATGAGCAGCTACTGCTGCTGACTTCTGAACTTGAAGAAATAGCATGGAGTAGAAAGAGCTCTTAAATGATGCCAGGGGACAGAGAGATATCTCAGTGGTTAAGGGCACTGGTGATTCTTTCAGAGGACCCAGACTCAGTTGCTAGCCCCAACATGGTGGCTCACAACCATCTGTATGTAGCTCTAGTTCCGGGGTCTGAGACACGCTGTCTTCTGACCTCTGCTGCACCAGGCACACAGGATACAGACACGCATGCAGGCCAAACACTCATACACATAAAATAAAGTTTAGGTAAAGAAGAAACTGTGCTGAGGGTGGGTGAGATGACGCAGTGGGTAAAGATGGTAAAGGTGCTTTGCTGCCACGCCTGACAACTTGAGTTCAATCCCTGAGTCCCACAAGGTTGTCTTCTGGCCTCCATACATGCAACATGGCTCATGCATGCCCAACACACATACACACTAAGCAATAAAAAAAATGATGCTGAACTACCTTTATGTTGACAGGGTCACCCACCTTCAGTATAGGGTCTAAATGCATGATAGTCTCTGCTGCCAGGTACTTGGTGACCAGGTATAAGTTGGCTTGTGACACCACCCAGATCTGTCTCAGTTACCTCCTTGTACTCCTAGCTCCTCTAGTCTCTACCCTCTCAGCCGCTCACTTAGTCAGTTCCACGTTCTCACCTCCTGTTACACTTCTGCCTGCCCACCAGTCTTGCCAGCCCTATTATCCTCTTGCAGTCATCCCCCAAACACTCAGGGGCCTGACCTCCTAAACTGGATGAGCACAGCCACTTTTGAGGAGAAGTGATCCTGTCTTTTTCCTTCAATTTGAAGAGGTGATACAGGGCATGTGAAAATTTAACCATGGCTGGTGAATGGGTAATGCTGTCTCCTGTCGAGCTTGATGACCTGAACATGATTTCCAAGTGGAAGGAGAGGACTGACTCCTTCAACCTCCACAAACATACTGTGGCACTTGTGTGTTCACCCCAAATAAGTGGGAGCAGAGGTCGATGGCTTTAGCTTGGTGGTTGAACACATGCTGGTATACCTGGAGCCAAGTTCCCAACTCTGAGCCCCACTTAAAAAAAGAACCAGTATAAAATGGTACAACAAAGAAGCAGGAAGTAGAGGCACATGCCTTTAATGCTGGCACTCAGCAGGCAGATCTTCGAGGCCAGTGTGCTCTACACAGTGAGTCCTAGGCCATTGGCTACCAAGAGAGACCCTTTTTCTCAAACCAAACAGCGAGAGACTACAATTCCAAGTCCTCCCACCCATAGTACCAATATCCCTCAGGGGCAGCCCGGTAAGCACTCTGAGAATTGTCACATACATCTTTATTATCATTTTCTCTTCTTCAAATGAACGTGTGCAACACTGCTATTCTGAAGACCACATTCTCTGTAGATGGCCTGGCTGGGCCCTTTCAGTGCCACACTGCAGGTTTCCTGCCAGCAAATCTCCACTAAGGGACCTAGGAAGGTGGGGTCCTCCATGGTGCCCCAAGTCTTTCACCTTCCTTCCAATGCTCACTTTAGTCAGTGTATGTGGACCACTTTCTGAGTTCCCACCTAAATACACTTGTTAGGTACTGCTTAGAACTCCTAGCAAAACTACCATGACCATTATTCGTCAGCTCACGTCCCTCTAGTTGAGACCCTCCCTGCCTTGCCTACTAACAGCTACCAAGTCAGGAAACACTGTGCCCTTTGTAGCCGGAAACCCCCCAGTTCACTCCCCTCTGCAACCCTCCTGAGCCTTATCACTTCCCACTGTTGGGTAGTCTGGCCTCCTGCCTCTCCACCCTCTATCCCCTGCTAAAGCTTGTGGCAACTTTGATGTTTGAGACTGGCATTAGGGCCAATCAAAACTTTTTGCCTGTTCAAGAGGAGTAAGGTGGTCAGCTAACTAGTCCCAGAGCCCTTGCCACCCTAGGCTCTGCTCTCCCTGGTCCTCCTTTGGTTTTCCTAGTCCTGGCAGTGGTCTTTTATCTTTCTAAAGGTCACCCTGTCAAGTCTTCCCGCCCCAGCTTCCCTTTTAACCAGTATCTTTTCTTCCTGGGAGTTAACAAATGGAGGCAGAACTAATGATGTCTTGAGTTCAAGGTTTTCTGTGATTGGAGGCTCAAGTACCTGGATGGTCTTTGTCCTATCGACAGCCCACAATGCAGTTCAGGTGCCTGGTACACACAGGTGGAACTTCCTCTGGAAACTATTGCTCCAATTTGTACAGTGAAATTGCTCAAAAAATGCCCTGGGTGAAACAGAAGTAAACTTGATGAACCAGAATGGGTAATTTCCAAGGAAACCACCATTACCACCACCACCACCAAAATGTTTCTAACATAATAGAAAACATGAGAGAGAAAATGTAGAAAACTTCCAGATTCTATCCTCAAGGGTGCAGCCACATTTGTAGATAAAGACCACATGCTGTATTGCTAGAACAGACTGTCCAACTCTGCAGGTTCTATACAAGCCATTTATTTGAAATGCCAACTATATGTAGGATAAAGTCAGTGTTACATGCTTATCAGTAACAGTAGAAAAATAGAACCAGTGAAAACCTCTGTACAACTGTGATGGACTCAAAAGAGAAATGTATTGTTTACAATGTTTCACACAGACGAGTTCAAGTTTGGAGGTACCTAAATAAAAATACTATATATTTCTTTAAAAAACACTATGTACAATTGAAGCGTAAACAAGTTTTACAAAGTACTGGTTATGCAGGTTGTAGAAAACACTTGCATAGGACATGAAATCAGTTTAAGAAAGATTTCTGAGCCTTTAGCATTGAAGGCACTTGACTTTACCATTAACAGCACAACCACAAGAAACTCAGTGGTGGAGGCCAGATGTGGCACATACACGGTGAGGGGAGCTCAGGTACCTCAGGTTTCAGCTGCCCTATCTGAGCGCAGAATTCCCTAGGACCTACCCAGATAACCTGGACAGTCACGTACAGGTACACCCGAGGACTCTTCCACAGTGTATCTGATCTCAGAGCTCACATAGACACACAAGTAGAAGATATTCCCAAGACACAAACTTGCAAACAGTCCATCTATAGAAATGACCGCAGCATTATAATATTCTGAATACAGAAGATTGGTACAATCATGGATATATTTTTTAGGGAAAACAAAATCAAAAGACTTGCCCAGACAATAACCACATGACAACTAGTACAACTGATGGGACAAAATAACTTACACTTCACAGAGCACTGTTCACACAGCAGTTTTGAGAGAAGATAGTAAAACACCTCTAGGCCGTGCAGAATAGCTCTTAGAAAGATTATCTGAATGAGGCTTGAAAGTAACGGCATGGTAGACATTGTGAACCACTGCAGACCCGGGAATAGCACCCATCACTGCGGCATTAGTTAATAGTCTATTGACCACAAAGAGCTTAACTCAGCCCTAAGAAACACGTAAATGCCTTATCGTTCACTGTAAAACAATGGCCTTATGCAAATTTTGTGAAATGCATTTTTCCCTTAAAAGGCAAGTTCAGTATTATGAAGACACATCTCCTTCTTTGTAGACGCTGTGAATGTTGATCCTTCAACTCCAGAGAATGCGCTTGAGGTCAGCTTCGGCCCAGCTGGCGCTACTGGCATTCACCGGCTTCCATTATGTTCTGAAGTGTCAGCTTCATTCAAATGTACAAGGGCTGTGCCCACTGCTAGAACTTCAACAAGTAATGAAAGAAAATACAGTAAAGGATGGTAAATGTTAAAAAACAAAACAAAAGCCCCCTAAAACCAAGGAGGACAGCCAACAAGGAAGCAAAAATCAAGACTTAGGTTCAGTTATACAAGAGGTCCAGAAAGATAAATATTATCAACACAGCAAGTCCTAAAAGGCCAACAGGTTACTTAAATGCTAGGTCAGCTTTGGCCTGGGGGCTGCACTCAGAAATAAAGTCAATGGGGGAATGTAAAAGGGTGATGATGTATGAAAATTTAAGGATCTGTTTTAGATGATTGTTTTTCCTTATGATCCACAGATGACTTTAAATGTAAGTTATTTTTCAAAATTACAAAACTAAAACAAAAATACAAGAAAGGGATCAACAACATCTTGAGAACCTAAGCACTGGTTCTCTAGCCTCAGCACTCAAGAGGGACTGGAATGGTGATTGTCCAAACGGCCTGATTGTCCCTGGCCTCCCTCAAAAGGAGATCTGGGATTTTTATGATTTGGTTATTAAATTTCTATACTAAGAAAAATGCCAGTTCCTGTGGCCTAAGATTTATATTATACATAAATATCTTCTTTTCTGAAACTGACCCTACCCAGACTTCACATCTGTAAGTACAGCATTTAAAACAATTCATGGATGGGTTCACAGCCAGAGGCACAGTCTAATGTCCCACTAACCCTATCCTATCACACACAAAACCACACCTGTTTAACTTCTGAAGTCACACCAGTCCACAATCCCACAGATTAAAGCAACATTTCCCTCTATATACAATTTGGCCAGGTAATCTACTAAAAGTCACTAAAAAAAGACATTATAAATTAAATAATACTATGAACAGTGTCCACTAATTTTTTTTATAATTACATCATATGGATAGGAAAGCACATTTAATGAATTGTCAAGAAATGAAAAGTGTGAGATCAATAATGGTCCTAAAACATAAAAAACCAAAACCTGTCAAGAGGTGAGAAAGTTTAGGTGTACTGCTTCTGTCTGCAGTTAACCTGCACAATCCAGTCTGATCTGGAACAATCTCAAACTATATAAAACAATTCCTGTCAAAAAGGTCCCAGACACACAGGGAGGAACAGAATGTAATTGCTTTTTGCTTCTACAATCTGAGACTGTGCTTCAAAAGATACCGACTCTTACACAGAGCAGAGTCCTGTGGATTTCTACTTTAAGGAGAAAGGACCTTAAAGGGGATATGAGTCCCACTTAGCAGATGTGCCTGCCCTGTGCAAGCCTCTGAGTTCAGGACGTACACCACTAGGGTCAGTCACAGTCAGCAGATGCATGAGCAGCAGCCCACTAGTCAGGCAACACAACTAGTGGCAGCGATTGCCGGGGTATACAGAGATGGGCACCTTCCCATCTATGAAATTATCTGTTGTTAGGATTGTTTAAATATCAGATCATTCCTGAGTGTATATCCATAGGGTAAAGTGGGAGAAGACCATAAGAGAAACTACAGTTTCAGAAGAAATCAGAGTTGCCGATGCCTAATAGAAACCTATTTACTTCAAAGTGCGTGTAATTCACTTATACGGTAGCTTGGGAAGGCTCCCTAGCCCTGCATAGTTTTAGAGTGTGAATGATTCCTAATTATATGTACACACACAGAAAAGAGGCTCCCAAATACCTTCTCCACAAAGAATGTTCAGGAAGTTTCTTTTCTTCTAAGTGCTACAGCTGTGTGTGTGTGTTTATAAAAATACAAAGTGAATGTTCAAATGATGCTGAAGTGATTTAAAAACTTAAATAACAATATATTTACATTGGGTAAGAAAACACAAAATAAAACAAAACCAAAACAGTCCCTAGCTCACACACTGCCCTTCCAAGGGAAAGGACTATGAAAGACCCCATATGCTCAGCAATTCAGTAAATGCCAAACCAGCACCTCCAGCGGAGTTCAAGTAGGATGTGTAGTGTTTTACTGAAAACAAAAGAGTTTTTTGGTGGTAAAAAACTATGCATCATACAACTTTGTAAAAGACAACAAAAATCCAGACATACTTTGAAAACACTAAAAAAACCGTATGTGTGTACAAATACCAAGTGACATACATAAGACTGAAGCCCTTTTGGTTTTTTTTTTCCCCACAAAATGCAAGACAACCAAAGGCAGTCGTTTCCCCCAGCCAGTGAATCACATGCAGAGCAAGGCATCCTCAGTGTGCCCTGTGTGTGGCATCACCATCTCCACTACTATTTGTTTTTGAGGCAGGGGCTCACATAACCAGCCCAGTCTTGAGTTCACTATGTAACCAAAGATGACCTTGAACATCTGATCTGCTGTCCCCACCCCCAAGTGCTGGGATTACAGTTGTGCACATCCTTACCCAAGTCCAACTCCACTGATTAGATCTTTTTGGAGTGAGTAAGTAACTCTACTCCAGAATCTCCAAGGGTCCTAACAAAGCTGCTACTGTAATTACACAGTAGCTACAGCCTGGGCACCAGACTTTCCTGCTTCCTGCTCTTTACTGAACCCAAAAATTTCAAGACCTGACTAGACTCCTGCTGTGGGGAATGAAGAGATTGGCTTTCAAGACTTATAAAAAAGAATGACATGAGATTTATGGAGATTGAACAGGAAGATCTCTGAAATGAAAGAGAGAGGAGCATATGATGTGCTGTTCTTTGGAATTTCTATAATTAAAAAATAAACACAACTATTTTATAAGAAAATACATCTTAGTGTGCAACCCAATGCACGTGGAAACTGGTAGATGATAGGTAAAATGCAAAAAAGTATGAAAATACAGTCCTTTAAATGTGGCGATAAAGTTTAACACACTGTTATAAAATCAATACAAATAAACTAAATGTACAAGTGCAAAAATTAGTCATCTGTAAAGAAGAAGAAAGCGCCAGCTTGCTTTCTCTTTAAGACGCCTCCCACACAACTGGTACACATGAAAGAGACGGATGCAGCATTCAAAACAACCCTCTCGGCATGCCATGTGTAATAAACATATGCACAGAGAAACTAGAATAAAAAGTGAGACTGAGCTGGCATGGATAACCGCTCACTAAGTTGTCGGGTTACATCATAAAACAGGATGCTTCACATCTCAGGCACAGACTCCAAGCTGCTTTCAGAGGGCAGACTTTTTGTAGAGGAAGTCTGGCTTGCTCGGTGACCTCCTTCCTCTGCTTATGGAATCATCCCTTTCCAGATCCGTGCTTCTCTGAGCTCCGTGGCTCAGGGACTCACTGTCTGTCAGTCTTCTACTGGATCGCTCTTCTAGAGCTTCAGAGCTGCATGCAGAATGGGAAGGAGGTCTGTTAGGTGTCAGCCCAAAAGTCAAGTCCGTTTCTACTGCAGTTCGTGCCCTGACATGAGCTGGACCGTTGCCAGCATTTTCTGAGGGTGCCGGAGGAAAGTCTGACCTCTGGGGAGGCTGCTCAACAACATCCAAGCGTATTGGCTCACTCTTCTGCTTGTGTGGATGGCCATCAGGAGACAGTGGATATTCTCTCCTAGTATCGTCCTGCTTTTTAGGAGAGGTCTGACCAGGTAGGTAAGCCGACTTTAAGCCATTTGGTGATGCCTTACTGTGGCTGTACAAGTCTGGACCAAAATATCTACCATGTGGCGGGGAGGGAGTGTGTCTGCCAGGGGCAGGAGTGGAAGGTCTGCAAGCCGCACTTGAGAAGTCATAGAGATCTGGGTACTCCTGCTGACTGTCTCTACCCTCTGCTTTCTGCTCTAGTGTGTGTTTTTTTCGAGCTGTGTGTGTATGTCTCTGTGGAATACACGAGAGATGCTGAGGAGGCCCTGGTCCTGCTTCAGAAACTGGCTGGCATAATTCTGTGTCTGCAGCAAGCTCTGGGAGCCTCCTGTCCTTGAGTGACAGTGTAGATACCCCCATGGCGATATCTGGCATCAAATCATTCAGCACAGGCTGTGTACACTGAAACAGAACAGAGAGGAATGATTAAAAAGAAAAAAAAAAGAATCACACATTTCTTTTACACGCTTGTATTTGAAGAGTTATAAAAATACACAAGATTATACACCTAAGAATAAAAACCACTACACTTCCCTACAGAGGTTATGGTTGTTAGCATTATCTAGTGCTCCCGTTTTGTACCTATGAAAACTATTAATCTCAAATTTCAATGCACATACAATTACATCACTCAATTTTCTTTGAGATTACTTGATTACCGCACAATATTTTACTGTATTGGTGAGAAGCAATCTAATTATTCTCCTACTAGGGTTCCCCCACCTCTCTTCTCTTTCTTCCACCCCACTCAACTCTGAGACAGGGTCTCTCTATGTACCCTGACTGTCCTGGAACTCATTATATAGAGGAGGTTGGTCTTGAACTGGTAGAGATCTGCCTGCCTCTGCCTCCCAAGTACTGGGATAAAAGGCATGTGTCACCACTGCCTGGCTGAGGCAGGCTTTCTTAATCAAACCTAGAACTCACTGATAATGGCTAATTTGACTAGCTATTTTACTCTGAGGAATCCTTTTTTCAACCTTCTGAGGCTGGAATTACAAGTGGGCTGCTAGCTCCTCCTGGCTTTTATGTGGACTCTGGTGATCTAAACTTAGGACTGGAGCTGGAGAGACGGCTCAGTGGTTAGGAGCACTGTCAGCTCTTTCAAAGTACCTAGGTTCCATTTCCAGCATTCAGGTGGCAGCTCACAACTGTCTGTAATTCCAGTTCTAGGGGATTCAACACCCTCTTCTGACCTTCATAGGTACCACATATCCATGTAGTACACAGATATGCATGTAAAATCATACACATAATTTTTTATAAAAACTTGGGTCTTTGCAGCTTTTTAATTTTTATTTTCTAAGTGTCTAAGTTGAACCCATCTTTCTACCTCAAACACCCAAAGTGCAACCCCAACACTGAGGGTGTGCCATACCTAGCTATATTATTAACAATTTAGGTTATTTACATTTTTCACTATACTCAGGACTGTATGGATAGTTTAATAAGTAGCTTTTAAAGGGAATTGTAATTAAAATATAAAATAGAACTACTATAACTGTAAGGTTGGTCATTGGAAAGCAGGGAGGGAGCAGAAGGGGAAAGATAATAATCTGACTCTTCTAAGGAGGTCTGCTTTTCTCTACTGAATGTTGCTGAGAGCACATGACAGAATACGAAGCATTGTTTTTTTTTTTCTTGAATCTATTATATAAAACAGAAGTCCAAACTCCATAAGCTCAAAAAACAGACAAAAAAATCCTCTCTCAATTACCACCTACTCACCCTAGCAACCAAAGCTGAGTCAAATGAGGACCTGATAGATTTGAGACCAGAGGTGGGGACTTTTATTTCTGCTGGTCTCTGCCACACTGGCCCTGGTGACACTAGTGTTCCCAGTGCAAAGAACAGAAGATGCTAAGTGTTTGCACAGAGGACCAGGCTCTGGTACACACATGTGCACTACACCCACCGCAGACACCTCAAGTCTCTCCTATCTGTGCTTGTCCTCTTCCTTTCCATTCCCTGCAGGGAATGCTTCCAGCTAGTCAGTAACACTTTTGGGAGTTGCTGAGTTCCAGCAGGGTCCCTGGAGCTGGGGGAACAGCTCCTAAGGTCCTCCACTTTTGTTTTAGAGAAAGTTATCCAAGTGCAGACTTACCGCTTGCTTCTCAGATATTATTGCTGCTGAGGCGGCAGCAGCTGCAGCAGCGGCAGCAACCGTCTGTCTTCCCAGGCCTGTGGTGTTGGTACAATCGGGAGGTGCTACTTTAACACCTGGCAAATAAACTGGGGGCGGGCCAGGTTTAGGAGCTGTTCTGGAGTGAAACAGTGAGTGATTACAGGGGTAAGAAAACGAACGAGAAGGGTGATGACTGGGAGGCCTTTGTTTCCAGCTTGCCTTGAGCTGGTTATGGATTGGGGTGGCTGGAGGGTGGTATGGAGGGGGAGGAGGGGGCAAAGGTGGATGGAAGGCCACGAAAGAGTCCAGGTCTGTAAACATGGTTTCTGCTGTAGGAGTACTGTTAACACGACATCTCCCAGGCTGTCTCATTGTCAAGAGTGGACTTTCATCCCCGAAACGTTCATCAGGAAAGAACTTGTGAGGATTCTAAGAAAGATTATTAAAAAAAAAAAGTTAGCATTAGTAACTTGTAAAATAATTAAGGATAACTTTGAGCTTCCTATTTTTCCTGCCTCAGGTGGGATTATAGGAGTGTGCCAGCTACCATGCCTGGATGTCCTTAAACTCCTGATCATCTCTACCTCAGCATTCCAGGTGCTGGGATTACATATGTGTGCCACTTCATCTGGCTTTAGGTCTGTACCTTTATCAGCTGATTTAATAAATGGAAATTTACAGTCTGAAGGAGTTAAATCAGGTACTTAAAAACAAACAAAACTTTTAGCCGAAATGAAAGGCTTAACATGGTTTTCTAGGTCAGAGCCTAAAGAAAAATGACCTGATTCCGAGTAAAAAGGGCTAGAGTGCAGCTGAAGCTACTCCACTGAACAGTCCCTAACTCATGTCAGTAGGCTTCAGTAAGATCAGGTGACAAAGCAAACGCCAGTAGTAAAACAGTCCAAATGTGCCACTGCTAAAAACAAGAGAAACATAAAAACCAAGAGTCTGGGCGGTGGTGGCTCACACCCTTAACACCAGCACTAGGGAGGCAGAGGCAAGGTCTCTGAATTCGAGGCCAACCTGGTCTAAAAAAGTGAGTTCCAGCCAGCACTGTTACACAGAGAAACCTTATTGGGGGGAAATGGGGACCAAAACCAAAAAGGAAACAACAACAACAAAAACCAAAGGAAGGATCTTTCTAGAAAGTTTGTGATACATCTAAGCATCTATCTGAAGTAAATGCAGACTATCATTCTTTACACATGTATTAGATTAAGACACTGATAAACATCGAATGTTTCTATACAATTTATGAGATTAAGATATTTTTTTTTAAAAGACAGAATCTTTGCTGGGCAGTGGTGTCACACACCTTTAATCCCAGAACTCAGAAGGAAGAGGCAGGTGGATCTCTTGAGTTCAAGGCCAATTTGGTCTACAGAGGGAGTTCCAGGACAGGCAAGACTACATAGGGAAACACTGTCTCAAAAACCAAAACCAAATAAAATAAAACAACAAAAAAAGCCAAACCAAAACAAAAGTGACAAAAACCAAAACAAAAATCCCAAATCAGGGTCTCACTATACAGTTTTCACTGGCTTGCAGCTCCCAATGCAGTCTGGCCTTCAACTTAGAGAGCTCTGCGTGTCACTGCCTGTCAAGTGCTGGAGTTGAAAGCATGTGGCCACACATCCAGCCAGAAGATAAAATTTAAAATGGCAAAGGGGACAGAAATGGCCCTAATAAGGATGGCACCAATAGACATGCTAACATTGAAGGGGGAAGCTTACAAGGCTTTCAAGGAACTATAGGCAATTCATGAATGCTGAGAGTAGGAGAAATACTCTTCCCCAGGGAAGAGCACACCAATTGATTATCCAATACTAAATGGTCAGTCCTGGAAACATACATACAAGCAACACGATAGACACTGAGCAGGTTGTATTTACAAAGTTAGGCATACACATACGTACAACACTAATAACTAAAGAGAGGCTATTATTTTGAAAGCAAGGGGGAGGGGGAATACATGAGAGGGTGTGGGACAGGAAGAAATAAGATTATATTATAATCTCAAAAAATTATATTAAAAAAGTTAAATAACGACGGGCCTTTAATACTAGCAACTGGGAGGCAGAGAAGGCGGATCTCTGTGAGTTTGAAGCCAGCCTGGTCTACAGAGCGAGTTCCAGGACAGGCTCCAAAGCAATACAGAGAAACCCTGTCTCGAAAAACAAACAAAGTTAAATACCATACTTTGCAGTTTTATTGATGGGGACAATAGTAAAGTTAAGACCTAAATTATTTGCTGCCTTGCCAAAGGACATCTCGTATCACATTAATTATTTGCAAGGGTCAATCAATGTTAATGGTATTTGTAGGCAAGAAAGTTTGTAACACTTAGCCAGATGAAATTAAATTTATTTATAGTTATTGTTAGATATTCTCATTAGACTATTTTATAAGCCCTATCTTAATTATAAAACTGCAATAGCTTTTGTATCCAATTACTAGAAATGAGGGCTTCTTTTTTCTTGCTATGTTAAAAAAATAAAGAGCCTGGTGTTGGTGGTGCATGCATTTAATCCCAGCACTTGGGAGACAGAGACAGGAGGATTTCTGTGAGTTTGAGACCAGTCTGGTCTATAAGAGCTAGTTCTAGGACAGGCTCCAAAGCTACAACAACAACAACAACAAAAAACAATAAAATAAAGGCACTTGTTTCATGAGTCTCAGTTCCTCCTAAACCCCACCCCTCTGCCCGGACAGGGTTTTTCTCTGTGTAGCCCTGGCTGTTCTGGAACTTGCTCTGTAGACCAGGCTGGCCTCAAACTCAGAGATCTGCCTCCAGAGTGCTGGAATTAAAAGCATAGGCTACCATTGCCTAGCTAGCCTTGTCTTTGAAAATAACTCCTAAAGGAAAAGAGAGAAGAAATAAGAAACCCGGAAGACCTGTAAGTATAACAGAAAGTCAAACTGGAAATTCAGTGACCAGAGAGTGAGCAGTGAGGTCTGGAGTTTTCTATCCCCTCTTCAATCTCCACTGAGATAGAATTCTGCAGTAGTCACCTATAGATGCTTGTTATGCCCCAGATACACTGCTGTTCTATATCACGTCCTATCTTCACTTTATAGATGAGATGTTTGGGGTGGTTAAGTGACTCAATTTGCTGACAGTTTAGGAAGCAGCAGAGCCAACTCTGCTCAGGCTGCTCTACCACACTGCCCTCACCAGGTGAATCCGGCAGGCACAGGCTATTACAGATATCAGAGGCAGCAAAAGAACAAGGAAGAAAAAGCAGCTCAGATGACACACCTGACTGACATTCCAGGCTCCCCCTTCCCCCTCGGTATTGAGCTCTACCTGCAAGAGCTCTGCAGCAGCATCTGCAAGCCCAAACTCTCTCAGCACTCGGATCTGGATCTCATAGCTGACAGTGGCGCCCTCCCCGCAGTTCAGTGCATAGGCTCTCTGCACCTGCTCCGTGTGCCGCAGTTCCTGCAGGCGCCTCACCATGTCTTTCAGAATGAGGAGACGAGGAACTAGAAGGAGAAAGACAGACAATTCCTGAGCTACACAAGACTACCCAGCAAGTACAAGGAGAAAGAAACATGCTATAGAAGAATCTTCTCAGACATTTTTTAAAGACAGTATTTTAATTTCTTGGGAATGTTCAATTTATGTCTACAATTATTTTCCAAGGTTTTAAAATTTCTCTGGGTCCAAAAGCTCTTGATTATACTAAACAGTCCCTGTATTCTATCCTTTTTGGCCACAGCTCAAATAAAACCTTTACTTGTATGTCCTAGCACTCAGGAGGCAGAGGCGGGAGGTTCTCCAGGTCAAGGCCAACTTGTTCTTCATAGCTAATTTTAGGACAGTCAGGGCTACACAGAGAAACCTTGACCAGAAAAACACCAAACCACTTTACTTTTATGTATTTTTTTCACAGGACGAGGGTATTTCAAATATATTCACCATTAGGACTTCGATGCAGCTCAGGTGAGACAGTGCTTGCCTAGCTTCAATTCCCAGCACCACAAACAAATAATTTCAACTAACTGTTCTGAGTTCTGACCACACACCAGAGGTTCAATTTGGCATTCAGGGTTCAGAACAAAAGGCATGAACTCTGATCTCAAAAAACTCTGCCTTTCATTACTGTAAACTAAGAAAGTAAATACAGTGTAGGAAGCAACACCAGGCTTGACTCAGAGCAGAGGGAAGACTTAAGACAAGCAGAGTCTTGACAAATGAGAGTTCTGGAAACTAAGTAGGCAAAGCAGGTAAGCTTTCTGAGGACACATCAAGTGCATGCAACATATGCAAGTGAGAGACAGCAGGACACAAACAGCTGGCATGACCGGAGCTCAGTGGTAAATGGTACAAACCACAAAAGTACTGAGATGACAGGTGAACAATTTAAGCACATTCTGCTTATACCAGGCAGTCATGTATACAGGGGGACAACAGGCCCTGACTCTCTAACCAGCATTCTGAAACTACCTAAGTTGTGCTGGCTAGTTTTCCATCAACTTGACACAAGCTGGAATCAGTAGTAAAGAGGGAAACTCAACTGAGCAAAAGTAAGACCAAGCTGTTGGCCTTGTCTGTCGGATAGTTTCTTAATTAGTGATTGATGGGGAGGGCCTAGCCCATTGTAGGTGGTGTCATCCCTGGGCTGGTGGTCCTGGGTTCTATAAGAAACAGATAGATCTCTGTGAGTTCAAGGCCAGCCTGGGCTACAAAGACAACTCCAGGACAGACAGCGCTGTTACATAGAGGAACTCTGTCTTAAAGATTCATGACATAACTGCTAGAAGGGGAACTACAGTTTCCCAAGTGCTTACTCTGAACCAGACAGATGCCTAATAATATAGCCGTGACACTTCATTAATCCTCACAATGACACTAGAGAGGAGGCATTATCTGCATTCCACAGATGAAGAAATTAAGGTTCAATCCAAAGTCATATACATAAGTGGCACAGCTAGACAGTCTTCTCCAATAAGCTGCATTGCTTTTTCGTAGTATGTTGAAGAAGGACAGAAAAAGAACCTTGGTAGGACCATGTCTCATTAGCTAAATGAAGGAGACAAGTTCAATTTCCCTAATCACACTGTGAATGTTTTGGGATTTTGAGGTTAAATTCTAAGATGAAGTTATACTGATATACATTTGCACTGACTCAAATTTAAAGAAAACACTACAGGCTAGGTGTAGTGGCACAGGTCTTCAATCCTAATACTTGGGAGACAGAGACAGGTAGGTGTATCTCTATGAGTACAAGGCCACCCTGATCTACACAGTTTCCAAAAAAAAAAGTGTCACTCATTGTAGCAAAGTTTCAAATTGTAGAGGAGTCTAAAACTCTCTCTTAACATTGTTACCCAATGTACATATAAGTAAACATACAGTGGCCAAATATGGTAACTGAAGGAAGATAACAGTTTAAAATAAAACTGTGAATTTGATGAAAAGTTCTGTCACTGTGTCGTTCATCTTTCCTTAGATGAAAATTTTTAGGCAGAAATGAATGGTACTATTCATAATGCCATAGCTTGTTGGATTTATTTTAAATCCTGAAATGGCAACTGGCAAGGGCTAGCAGTAAGTTTCTGACCACTAATTACCACTCTTTTTGGATATGCCAGTTATAAATCAAGCTCTGGTCAATCATAAGCCTGAACTCTAGTAAACTTGGATCTCTAGCAGCTAACAGTGATCGAATTTGGGAGGACAGAGCAGACTACATCACCTCTTGAAGGTTTTTGCTTTTAAGACGGGTTCATTATGTAGCTCAGGATCTCTTTCCTTTCTTTCCCTCATGGGTTCTAGGATGACAGTTGTGTGTCATTATGCCTGCCTGATTTCCCCTAAATCAGTTGTTCTTACCAGGAATGATCCTGCCCCAGAAGGCATATCTGTAAACGAACAATGATGAGTACTGAAATGTGGGAAGAATTAGCACAGGTAAGAAGGTTAAAACAGCAATTACAAAAAAAAAAAAAAAAGAAAGGCACTGCCTTACCTGGGATTTCATTGGCTACAACTGATGGAGGACTTGACTGGTTACTGCTGATCTGCTGGTGGCTGATCATGTGGCAGCACTGTGGCATGGCATTGCTGACCATGTAAAGTGTATCTGGAACGTTGGACATTCGAACCATTCGTAGTCGCACCAGATCTGTTTGTTCCACCATCATCTCATCCAGTACTGACTGGAATATTGAAACAGCTGGTCAACCTTCACTACGGTGAGCTCACACTTGCAGCAAGATAACCATCACCATATAAAAAGAAATGAAGTTATCATTTCTCATGTTTAAATTAATGGTGAAAGGAGAAAATGCCTCTCTTTTTGAGTATCTTGAAAAGATACAATCATCTTCTAAAAACTTTGACTATAAAATTAATCAGCAATAAACATATGCTAAGTATCAGAAGCAACAAAAAATGCTCAATATACAAAATATTGATTATTAGACCAGACACTGTGATACACATCTGTGGTAGTTTGAATGTAATTGGCCCCCTTAATCTCATAGGGAGTGTCACAATATATTAGGAGGTGTGGTTTTGTTGGAGTAGGTATGGCCTTGTTGGAGGAAGAGTTCCACAGTGGGGGTGGGTTTTGAGGTCTCACACATGCCCAATGTCTTGGTCTACTTCCTGCTGCCTGCGGATCAGCATGTAGCGGTTCCTTCTCCAGCACCATGCCCGCCTGCACGCTGCCATGCTCCCCACATGATGAGTGAACTAAACCTCTGAAACTGTAAGCCACCCCTCAATTACATAAATTCCTTTATAAGAGTTGCTGTGGTCATGGTGTCTCTTCACAGCAACATCTTTAATCCTAGTACTTGGACCACAGGGGCAGGCAGGCAGGTCTCTGTGAGTTCTAGGCCAGCGTGGTCTACACGGTGATTTGCAGAGCAGCCAGGGTTAGACAATGAGATCCTGTCTCAAAGAGGGACATATATACCATATAAAATTATTGCTGCTTAACAGATCTACAAATAAACCCAATTTTGTTAAATAAGTTCCAGTGTATCTGTATCACTAAACTGCAGAATGGGCCAAATATAAGCACTTTCTATATTTACTGAGGAGGAGCTCTGGGCACAGAGCCAGTGCCACATCTGTTGAGTGTCTTGGCTGCCCAGCTTTGGAGCAAATGAGAATGGGGAGCTACTGCTCGAGCAACATCAAGTACTTCACTCCCCAGAACTCGTGGAAAGGTGGAAAGAGAGTAACTGACTTCACAGTGTCGTCTTCTGACCCACTCACACTATAACACACATGACCACGCGTACATCATACATGTGTGGCTGGATGAGTTAAGGGCACTGGTTGTGTTGGCTTTTTTGCTAGGTGTAGTGGTGCACACCTTCCAGCACTTTGGAGGCAGAGGCAAGGAGATCTCTGTGAATTAGAGGCTAGCCAGGATACAAAGTGAGACTCTGTCTAAACAAAACAAAACAAAACAAAACAAAAACACATGCTGATTTAAAAAACTATTAGTTTTTCAACCTCTACACCAAAGTTATATGTGAATACATCTGATAAAAAGTATATTGTTTTCACATTATTGTATTTTCTTGGAGAGTTCTCTGTGTCAAAATACACACAGGATCTGCTATTTACTAACAAGTTTGAAACTTAGTTTAAATGTTTACCCTAAAACTAAACGGAACACAAAAGTCATCTATTCTGGAAGACTACTCCAAGAGATGACATGTCTCTTCGTTTATGAGGAAGGTAAGCAAATGCAGCCCACACTTGAGACATTTCCCTGCTCGCTAGACCATACAGCACAGCTGTCATGTAATTACAACAGTTTACAATGTAATGAGGTAAGATGCATCTTAACAAGTTTTAAAAACATCTTTGATAATTAAACATTCCAGAAAATTACTGATAAACTAGAATTTACTTTCATTTTCCACTACTAGATGCCTGGGTCACTAAAAGTAAGTTTCTGTGCATGTGGTTGGTAATAAACTCCTCTATCTTACCTTCGCTTCTTCCACATAGGGAGAAAACAGCCGAGGACGAACATATATGCCAGCATTTTTTTGCCGTAACCAGGCATTTGACTTTCCTCCTTCTGTTGTAGGAAGCATATCTGATGGGGGAGTACTGATCAAGCCTCTTTTCATCTTAAAAACAAACAAACATTGGAAAAAAAAGATAAATACATGCCACACAATACTAGTAAGACAACAATACTTACACCTATAAACACACTGCACAAGCTTCCCCACCATTTAAGTAAGAACTTGGGAACGTTATTATGTAAATTTAGCAATACCCTAAACATTAGGGTAAAGAGTTCAGAGGTTGAGAGATGGTTCAGTGGTTAAGAGCACTGACTGCCCTTCCAAAGGATGTGGGTTCAATTCCCAGCACCCACATGACAGCTCATCATTGTCTGTACCTCCAATTCCAGGGAATCTGACACCCTAACCAACACACATGGAGGCAAAACACCAATGCACATAAAATAAAATCATTAAAAAAAGAATTCAACAATAAGAAAATACCATCTGTAGTTGCCCTCTTTCCTTTAGAAGAATGATGTTTTTACATAGACACATAAATACAAATTCAAGAATTTGGATTAATTTTCACAACACTTGATGAAAACTGATTTTTTTCCCTGTTCATTTTGCTTTCACCCCCCAACCAAGGGAAAATAACATGGAGCTGGCCTTACTTACAGCACAGGACACTACATAGTTCTCTTCTCAGGGAATGTGACCTGACGCCAACCACCAAATAGCCCAAATCAGAAAATATGTGAACATTTTTCAGTTTACTGTGGAGATCTCTTTAGGCATGGGCTCAGTATCAGCACTGGTGAACTATGTAACCACAAATGCCTTATTTAACCTTAAAGGGCCTCACTACAGGACACCTGTGTGGTTCAAAGTTGGAGAGCCACAAGATGAAGATGTTTCAGTGTCACTGTGGTTTCCTCACTGATGTTATGAGCCCACACATAAATAAAGCCCCCAGGTCCTACTGTGGTGGTAAAGATTTAATGACAGCAATACTAAACACTGTCATGGTATGCACTTGCACCAACTAAGAGAACATGGCTGTGCACAGCAACAAGCAAACTTATATTGGGCTAAGTATGGAATTAAGAGCAAGTAAGTACATAGTTCCTAAACAATGTTCCAACAATACTTTTCTAAATAAAATACAAGAATCAGTCTTGCTGGGCATGCTGGCGCACATCTTCAAGCAATGAGGAGCAAGGCAGTAAGCAGCACTCTCACACGGCCTCTGCGCCCGCTCCTGACCTGACTTCTTTCAGGGATGAACTGTCCTGGGAAGCTGCAAACTGAAATAAACCCTCTCCTCACCAAGCTGCTTCTGGTCATGGTGTTTATAATACCAACGGAAACTTTCATGGAGACATCAGCTTAGTAGCAAAAATTTCAAAATAAAGACATATGACAGACATTTTTCAAAAGATATACAAAGGGTCAAGAGGGTATATGAAAACATTTTCAACATCACTGATCATCAAGAAAAGGCAAATTCAAAAGAAGAAACGGGACACACACACACACACACACACACACACACACACACACACACACAGAGCAATTCTACCATATATACTATATACACAAAAACAAAGCAATGCTACTAGCTAAAAATCATTACTTTAGGGACCGGATAGATGGCTCTAGAGCAATCATGAGGACTGAAGTTTAAATTCCAGCACTCATGTTACAAGCAAGGTATCCTTCGAAGGCCTGCAACTGTAGCTCACAGAGCTCTGATGTCCTCTTCTGGCTTCGGTACAAGGAGACCCTCTCTCCTCTCTCCTTCCTCCCTCCCTCCCTCGCTCTAAAAAACTCCATTAATACCACCTCTGGTATTTTCAAGACAAGGTCTCTCACTGTTGCCCTGGCTGTCCTCCAAAGACACAGAGATCCACTTGCCTCTGCTTCCTGAGTATTGGGATTAAAGTGTGCCAAGCTCTATAAATTTTCAACTGTGTTTAAAAAGCACTCAGATGGCTCATGTATCTTACATATATGAGTCAATGTCCCTCCTCTGATTTACTGTTCTTGAGGAGTCTGCAAAGGTAATTTCTATCTTTTCTTTCCACAAGATTGGATTGATTCATACTGGTAAGTGACCAAATTAATTTCCTTAAAAACTATGTTCTTGAGCGAGTTCCAGGACAGCCAGGGCAACACAGAGAAACTGTCTCAAAAAACAACAAAACAAAACAAAGAAAAACAAGCAAGCAAGCAAAACCCTGAAAAAATCAAAATAGAAAACAAAAACTTATGTTCTTGGAAGGAAGACCCACTTACCCACATAACATCAGGACCAAGCACACTTTTTTGTACTATGCCAGACACTGGGGATGTAACATTATACCAAACAGATTTCAAGTACTGTACTAGTAGGGGAAATTATAAGAATTAAACAGGATCAGTCTGGCATTTTTCTTTTCCTAAAAGGAATGAAGAGATGAACTTACAGCATCACTTAAGACCTCACTGTTTATAGGCAAGATGTGCTCAATTCGCACGAAAGGCAAGAGAGTAGAAAGGATCTCTCTAAGTTCTTCTATGTCCAGGTCTCTTCTTTTCACACCTCTTTTGTTCACACTATGTGCAGTACCACTCAGTAAGTTTGGCTCTAAGAAACAGAAAGGAAAAGCCTTCAGTGAAATCCCAGTTTTCATAGACAGTCTTTTTCTTTTTAAAAACTGTTAGTTTTTTGAGACAGGGTTTTTCTGTGTACCCTTGGCTGGCCTCAAACTCACAGAGACTCACCTGCCTCTGCCCCTGACCCCCAAAAACTGAGATTAATGATGTGCTCCACCACCACCCAGCCTTTTAAATAATTTTTTGTGTGCATGTATGTATGTGTATGTACTTGCTATGGCACTGAGTGTGAAAGCCAGAGGACAGTTTTCAGGATTTGGTTCCTTCTTCCACCATGGGTTCCAAGGATCAAATTTTTCAGACTTGGGCAACAAACACTTTTACCCACTCAGCCATCTTCCTGGTCCTAGGGACAGCCTTACTTTCCTCTCTATTATATAAAATCTTAGTACCAGATATAAGTACATCTGCTAAGGACAGGTTATAAATAAGTTTAATTTAATACATAAGTTTTTGGACAAAGAAAAAGTACAGTGTCTACAACACATGAACATTCTTTATAACTTCTGTGCTAAATGATTCTTTTTATGTATATTAACTCAAAGTAAGAAAAATGATAATCTGTTCATACCAAGGCTATGACCAGTTTTAAATATAAGAGGGACAATGCAAGGCACATGCTATTTTTGTCATAGTAGCATTATAAGAAGGGGAAAAGATGGGTCTCATGTAGTCCAGGCTGGTTTCTAACTTGTTATGTAGCCAAGGATGAGTCTGAAATTCTTTCTGATCCTCCTACCTCTACTTCCTAAATTCTGGGATTATAGACATGCACTACCATACCCATCCCAGGCTACTTATGTACAATGGTAATTTAATAATATATTAATCACCTGTATACAAAGGAGCAAAATTCAATGTACATTCTTAGTTCTAAGCTTCTAACATGGGCCTGTTATTACACATGGGTGAATCTTTTGTATTTGACATTTAAGTCCTATGTCCTGAGTAATGGATAAAGTATTTTTCCTTAGGTATTAATGTGACAGGAAGATCTAAAGAAAAATAAGTATGTTTATGTCACTGAAGTATGAAGAAAACTATAATTTTTAGAAATATTAATTATATCTTTAATTTAGGGGGCTACATATTTTTTGTTAAAATTTGATAATTTTAACAAAAAAGATCTTTATGGTTGATAATAAAAGTGACAATCTGGCCGGGCGTTGGTAGCCCACGCCTTTAATACCAGCAGAGAGGCAGATGCAGGCGGATCTCTGTGAGTTTAGTCCAGTCTGGTCTACAGATCGAGTTCCAGGTCAGGCCTCCAAAACAATACAGAGGGGGAAAAAAGTGACAATCCCTTTTTTTTTTTTTGAGACAGTTTCAAACTACATAGCCCTGGAAGTCTTGGAACTCACTATGTAGAACAGATCAGCCTTGAACTCAAAGAAGTCTATTTGCCTCTACCACCCTAGTGCTGGGATTAAAGATGTGCACCACCATGCCCAGCCAAAAATTTTACTTTATAAGGAAAGACATCTTTCTTAAATCACATGAGGGAAATATATATTGTCTATATAAAGATATATATGCATATATGTGCATACATATATGGAGAGAGAGAAAACAATTTTTATGTTTGTGATATTGAGGATAAAATCTAGGACCTTGTATGCAAGGCAAGTCCTTTACTATCGTTCAATATCTCTGACTCACAATTATTTTTTTTAAGTACTGCATTGTGGGATATTTATATATGTATTGCTGTGATTGTTGCTGAATGGCCAATAGCTAGGCAGGAGGTATAGGTAGGACTTCCGGACAGAGAAAGAGAGTAGGAGGAGATAATCGAGGTGCAGAGAAGATGCCAATGAGACATGGAGGTAGTAGGACATACATAATGATATTAAGGCAAAAAGCCACAGGGCAAAACAGACTAAATAATGGCAGGTCAATTTAGGTTATAAGAGCTAGTGGGGCAAGCCAAGCTGCAGGCCATGCTTTTATAATTAATTAGAAATCTCTGTGCTATTATCTGGGCGCTGGCTGGCAGGACAGAAAAGACATTACAGTACTGGGTAATGTCTTACACAAAACCTTCAAGTAAGGGCAGAACCATCTATACACAAACGTAACTAAGGAAGAATGGCCAGTTTGCCTTTCTTATTCTTGCAGAACTTTATATTCTAATCTTGTCTGAAATGTATTTCCTTTATTTACTTATTTTTGTTTTTAACGTGTCTGGCTATTTTGCCTGCATGTATGTATGTGAACCATGTGTGTGCCTGGTGCCCTCAGAGGACTGAAGAGGTTGTTAAATCTCCTGGAAATGGAATTACAGACTGTGAAGAGTCATCATGGAAGAGTTGGGAAATGAACCTGGGTTCTCTGAAAGAGAAGCAAGGGCTCCTAACCACTGAGCCATCTCTCCAGCCCACAAAACTATTTTAAAGGAAATTTTATCCATGAAGGATTCTCGTTACCTGCCCAAATAAATGTGATCTTTCATCACGAACAACCCTTCCTCATTATTAACCTATATCAATGAGGAGACCAAAGGCCTACAGTAATTAGGCAGTTCAGGTGTGGTAGCTATGTTGTTCACAATTAACACTGAATTAACCAATGATTCTAGAGGTTAGTTTCCCTCTAGGCACAAACATTTTGCCAACTCATCAAGACATAACTTTGTGTGCTACTGTTTAAAGGCACCTTAATACATATTCATTAAGGATGAACTCAAGGCTAACATCACAGTAACTCATGCCTCAATGAAGTTTATCAAACACACTATTTTCTCCATAAGGACATCCCAGCCTTCTTGCATTTCAGAATTTGAGACACTTCAGTACATTCACTTGGCAGCCATATTAAACTGAGATCATGAAAACATAAAAATGTCATGAGGCAAGCTCTCGCCATGTGATCTCCCAGGTGCAATGGGTGCTCAGGAGTGTGTCCTCAAAAAGATAAGTTCTTATAAAATATATATTAGTAATTATGGGTTAATAATCAAATCAGAGCTAGCTGATAAGAAACCAAGCAAATGACCAACAGCTTCATAATTATAGTGTCCTGTGTGTTATTGGGGGACTGAAAGTATCAACAGGAGCCAGGTGGTGGGCAGGAAGACTAAACGTTACATGGGTTTGGTTCCCAGCACCCACATGGAGGCCAATAACCATCTGTAATTTCAGTGTCAGGTGATCTCTGATGCCCTCTTCTGACCTCTTCCAGTACCGGGCATGTACACAGTACACATACATGTATGCAGGTAAACATACACATAAATAAATTTAAAAACTGAGGAGAAACAGAAGTTCAAAGTTGTCCCTGGTTACATAAGCCTGGGCCACATGAGACTCTGCCTCAAAATAAAAACACTGAAAAATGACAGGAAAGGGAAATCTATTGAATTTTCCTAAGTGAAGCTTATTGACTTGGGTTCAGTATGTAGAGGAAGGTGATAGGTGGCTGGTCTAACATATAAAAGACCAGTATAGAATCCCATGTTTCTTGGTCAGCAAAATGGCTCAGTAAGTAAAGGCACCTGGCACCACACATAAGAATCGGAGTAAATTTTTGGTGGAAGGACGGAACCTATTCTTGCAAGTAGTACTCTGACTTCCATACATGTGCACACTTTGTGTGTGGATGTACACAAGCACAATAAAAACATGTAATAAAATTAAAAGAAAATGAATCATGAATTTCCAAAACCATACCACGTATGGAACTACACAGAAGCAACCTCAACTGGAAGTAATTTTACTAAAAACAAACTAAAAAACAAAAAACTAAAAACTTTGTGGTATTAGATGTCCCACACACTAGGACCTCACATACACTAAAGTGGTATGCCACTGAGCTACACCCTTAGTCCCTGTCTCCTTTTTTGAGAGAGGGTCTTACTATATATAGCTCTGGCTGGCCAGGAACTCACTCCACAGACCAGAGATTTGCTTACCTTACCTCCCAAGGGCTGGGATTAAAGGTGTGCGTTAAAAAAAAAAAGTGTGCACCACCATGCCAAGCCTTTGCATCTTTCTTAGTTGAAATAAACATCACCATAAATTCATCATTTTAATCATTTAAAAAGACACTGTATATCTATCAACATTAATTTCTGAACATCTTCAACAATGTTACTTTCTCTGATACCTTAATCACGACATGACATTTTTCATTCTAGAATTCCACGAATCATTTAACATACTATATCAGACATAAAATTGATATATTTATCAACTTCCCCTCAACTACACTAAAGGACTTCACTGATGATGTAAAATCCTCTACTTCTTCAATCTACAGTGTGTTTCCAAGGCTGGTGTGTTGTGTGTTGTGTGTTTTGTGTGTGTGTGTGTGTGTGTAAGCCACTGGGGATGTTGAAACCATACAGAAGCTGATTGGCACAAGTACTTTCTCAACTTACCTCTGTCTGCTATTCTTTTCATCAATTGATGCTCTCCCCATTTAATCAGATACTTAAGGATATCTTGTTCACTTGCCTAGAATAAAAATTGATTATTATTTATTCTAAAGAAATTATTAAAATGTTTAGTTCATGTGAGAGGAAGGTGATAGGTGGGTGGTCTAACATAAGTTATATATTATAATGTACATGTGGAGCACAACTTACCACATTTCTCTCTTTATATCAGCTGCGTGAAATTTTAGAGCTAATCCTGTGGTCCATAAACAGTGAATGTTACAGAGAGTATTACCATATTGAATAACTTTAATCTTCATCCCAGCTGATGCTTTTATTATTATGATCTTTTTTTTACTTGTATATTTCCTACTTTTAAATTTATTTTATCTTATTATAAGGCTTCCATACCACTAGTGTTTTGGGGATAAGATGAGAATAAACATATTATCTTCTCCAGTGATGGGAAAAACAAGAACGACAAATTATTCAGGCAGGCTACAATCTCTATAAGGTATTTAGTGGGTTGAAGAGTGGACCTTGCATGACAATTTGTGAAATGGCAATGTGTCTCTCCTTTCTTATTTTATTTAAAGTCTTACAGCACATAGAGGCTGCTTTCCAAGATACTTTGTCATGAAGGACTGCATAGCTTAGGACAACAATCTGACAGCACTGACCAATCCTAACTCAAGCAGACATCTGGTATGACCAGGACAGTGAGACAAAGTTAATGAACAAAGATCCTCCTACAAATGAACACTAAGTGTTTCAGCATTTATTACTGCAAACAAAGCAATGTTAAAGAAGCACAGTGGACAATTTGTTTTTTTTTTTTAAGATTTATTTATTTATTATGTATACAGTGTTCTGTTTGCATGTATCCTTACAGTCCAGAGGAGAGCACCAGATGGTTATGAGCCATCATGTGGTTGTTGGGAATTGAACTCAGGACTTTTGGAAGATCGGCTAGTGTTCTTAATCACTGAGCCATCTCTCCAGCTCTAGTTTTTTTTTTTTTTAATTAAGTATTTTCTGACTTTGATGATTCTATTTTATAGTTTATCACACAAAAAAACAAATGGCTCAAAGGGTTTACAGCTTCACAGCATTAAAAGCTGTTGTACTGTTTTTAGCATAAAGTTAACCCGATATAAAACAATTAAAAATATGTTATCTTACATAATTTTTTGCAGTATTTTAAATTACAAATTAGATTAACACATAAGCCAAAGACACAAGAATTGACTGAAAATAAAGTAGGAAATACAATTATGCTTTAGTAGAACACATACACTTGAGTTTTTACGATGAGTTGAACAGATTGAATGAAATTTCATTCTTGTTTTGTGCTGCTTAACCCATGGTCTACAATCTAAGTATATGATATACTATCAAAAGAAATTATTATAGTGAATGAGTATCCATGGCAGGCAAGACATTCACTTTCAGACTGTGTTCCTGACTTGGCCTATTCTCTTCATAGTATATCTAGTTAAGTCCTGGGCTTGTTCATAGCAGTGTACACAAAGACCCAATGTGCCAGAAGGATCTTAGTGCTCAAATATGGAGCAGGAATTCATTAAGCAAAGTCTGTTTCTCCCTACCCCACCCTCTAAGAGTAACAGGTGCAGATGAATTTCTTTGTGCATGTGGAATGACAATGAACTTGAGAGGTGTATAAATGATTACCTGTAGGTAGTCAGATTGGATAGCAGTAAGCAGATGGTCTTTGCTGAGTTCATAAAAAACATCCGAAGTCATGACCTGGGATAATTCCTCACAAAGGAAATGCAAAGCTTGTCGGTGCACCCACTTAGAGCCATATGGATGTGAGCTCCACTTGAGGATGGCAATTAAGGTATCTAATGAGATGCTGTCAGCAATGATATCCTCACAGCCTAAAAGAGAAGGCAAATACTTCTTAAGATTAATCAGAAATATTACTTATTGATCATTAGTGTGTTAGGCTACACAGACTTAAAAAGTGGCAGTAGTAAAACAATTCAAGAGATTAAAAAAATCTCATGGAAATCATCAAGACTTCCTTGGATAGGGTAACAACAGATATGATATTTATAGGAAATCTGAGCCCTACAGAGAAAGGCAGAGAATCCCCCTAGTTGCTGAAGAACATACATCTGTGTACAAATTCAATAACTGAATAAGAGTACAATGGAACCACTGTGTCAAAGGGGACTTAGAGTAGACGGCAAAGACAGATGCCAGAGACACATGATTGGCAGAGGAAGGACATGGGTGACATTTGATTGACAAAGCACCAAGATCTAAGGAAATGATTTAAACCCTTAACAGACAGGTAAAACTTGTATGGTATTCTTCTGAGTTTTAATTCTGCCAAATCAAAAACGAAATAAGTGAAGTAAACCAAAAATTCAGAAAAAGCAGCTATGGCATTTTAAGAGCTCAAAGGAAAAAGAAAAAAATCTGAGAAGTCAGTTATTCTTAGGAAAAATCAATATAAAGATACAGGACCAGACATGGTAGTACACACCTTTAATCCCAACACTTGGAGTGACAGAAACAGAAGGATCTCTGTGAGTTTACGTTGTTGTGAGGTTCAGGCAAGTCAGAGCAAAAAAAGAGAGAGAGAGAGAGAGAGAGAGAGAGAGAGAGAGAGAGAGAGAGAGAGAGAGAGAGAGAGAGAGAGAGAGAGAGAGAGAGAGAGAGAGAGAGAGACTCTGTCTCACCCCCTCTACCCAACTGTGAGTGACAAAAAATTATGGAAGGGATATGACTAAAGTTGAACAGAAGATTCTTACTGTTTACTATAAAACAAAGAGTAGTCTTGATATTATGAAAAAATGATGCCCTCTTCTGGCATGCAGAATACTCATACATAAAATGCAATTATGTAAATAAAATTAAAACAACAAAAAACCCCAAGCATTTAAATATCGCCACTGACAGTAACAAAAAATATGGCTACACACACTGTGCTGCACTCAGAGCCTTACAAAATACAGATCAAAGATTAAAGTCTACACACTGTCAGAGTTGAAAGTCCTACGTTCAAAGTAACAGGAGAGAACCCCATGCTCAGGTGATACGAGACCATTAGTGGCCAATATGGCACTTATTTAACTCATCTCTCTTTTTCTGATAAACTACCGATGTGGGGACACATCATAAATAACTGTGCTACATGAGCTCCACAAAGCATAGGGATGTTGTCTTCAGTTATCTACACAGCATATGGTAGGCACTAAAATGCGTTAAGGTACATAAGTGAGATCCTTGCAGATAAAAGGTACAAAACTGAACAGTGCTTAAAGGATCTGCTTATAAACACACCAATAAGAGTAGAGGGCGTAGGAGACAGCCCGTTTTTTGCCATCCTGATCATGAGCTTGGATGAAGCTATGAAAAGCATGCTTCAAAATCTCCAGACAATTGATTGAATGCTATATAGCACAATCACAACTAGAGATAAAGATCAGTCAAATTCAAATAGAGCTAGGGAAAATGAGGAATTTCCATACTTTGGAATGATGAAAACCAGCTGCACAGTGATGACAGAGGTGAACTAGCTTAATATAGAGCAGTATCTTAATTGTGTATTTTAATTACACAAAAACACAATGTGGTATGGTTGCTATAAAACTGAAGCACTCCTGGGTTTTAGTTCTCAAGAGAGTCTAATGCTGCACTGCTCTCCTGTGTTGCTCTGAGCCCCATGTTTTAGATGGGCACTGACCAAACCGAAGAATGCTAAGAGGTGGCAGCAGAGCAGAAGAGGGGAAAGGCTCTCTGCAAACACGTTACACAATATACATAAGGAAAAGCTAAGCAGAAATGGAAGAGATACTGTTACACGTCCAGTGGGCCTTCACCTGACTACTATTACTCCAAGGACAGACCCCAACAATTAACTGGATATTTAAAAAGAGAGATTTTGGGCCGGGCGTTGGTGGCGCACACCTTTAATCCCAGCACTCGGGAGGCAGAGGCAGGCGGATCTCTGTGAGTTCGAGGCCAGCCTGGTCTACAGAGTGAGTTCCAGGACAGCCTCCAAAACCACAAAGAAACCTTGTCTCGAAAAACCAAAAAAAAAAAAAAAAAAAAAAAAGAGAGAGAGAGAGATTTTGGCTTGATAACAAAAAAATTATTACAACCACAATTTCTCTCTTCTCTGTTTCAAAGATCCTTCTAGAAAAGTAGGAGTAGAGACCTGTTCAGCAAGTTAGGGACAGAGTACACTGAACAGTGACCAAGGTCAGGAGATATCTAAGTCACTTCATTTTTAGACAATAGTAACAGAAAAAAACACAAAATTAATTTATCTAATCTAAACATTAGAATAACAGCTTTGAAGGAGATCACACTTTTAGAGGATGTGTCCACTGATAGGTTCCATGCCCCACACCAGACACAAACTGCCTCCACTGACTGAACTTAGTGGGCTATTTAAAAACAAGAAATTATGAGGGTGATCTATTGGGAAGAATATGGGAGGAGTTAGAGGGGAGTAAACAGAGGCATATATGATCATATTTCATATGTATAAAACTCCCCAGAAGAAAAAATTTAAAGAAAAAAATCTTTATAAGTACCACTGAGATTGACTACAATGAGATATGCTTGTGATACCAGACAGCACAACCATGCTGAAGAAACATGCAAAGCAGGGGAAAGTTCTCAAGGACACTCTGACCTCAGTATCTAGTCTATATGTTCCAATGACTCTTCCTTCAAAATACTTCTTACTACCCTTTCACTTCCATTTCCACGAACATCATAACCTTATATCCCAAAAGCAATTTCCCAATTTTTCCTAATATCAACCCCTGAAGTTTTCTTCTTACTTTCTGCATCCCCAAGTATTCCAATCCTCATCAAGCACACAGTGGAAAGGTCTGTGGGGCACCACATCCACCACACCATCCCTATGTAACTATTTAAAAAAGGAAAGCAAGAATTCCAAGTCTGGGGGGGGGGAGGGGAAATCAGACATGCATGCTAGAAGACAAGATAACTGGTGCCTCTCGTGAAAACTCCGTCTTTGGACTCTGCAATGTGTTAAGAATTTGGGGGGGGGGGCGGTAAATGTTTCTCTTTATTAGTCCCCTGGAGGACAATTTATAAGAGTCTAAACTCTCATACTGCTCTCCTGCCTTCCCGGCGACACGCCTTCCTGTTCTTGGGGAATATTTACAAAATGAACATCCTGTGTGCAATCATTTGAGCCAGACTTTTGGCAAGGGCTGTGGGAAACGAAACGGGAGATTCTCAGACAAGAACAGCTAGTAACAAAAATACCCTATAAAACCAAGGTTCTTGAGTGAAATTCTATAGATGAATAGCAAAAGGCCACCACCCCACAAGTGGGGAGATGGTAATGTCATGCTTTGTGTATGACATTATCAGTTTCCATGAGAAGCAGATGACCACAAGCAGAAATAGAGAGTAAAATAGCTCAGCAGCGAGTGGTGACACTCAAATTCTCAAACGTAGACATTTAATCTTTCAAAGTCTGAAGGTTTCCAGGTCAGTATTTAAAAAAAACAAACAAACTCATTTCCTGCAGCTGTAAATGTAGACTGTATACCACAAGAGTAAGCTTGGCTAAGGCTCTCAACTACAAAGACAGCTCACAGGAAACCCCCAGTTATCTAAGATAAAATGTCCACAGGCACACCTGGACACAGAAATCTAGAGCAGAGCCAAGACTGCAAGTCCAAGACTCAACCCCATATTCTAGGCTATTAGAATCAAGCAGCTCGTTCTCCTCTCTCTCCCCCACTCTGACCATGCCTGCTTAAATCCTTGAAAGTTCTCTTCAAGATCTGCTGCCTCTTCTCTCTACCTTGCAATCACTAACCTGGATCAGGTTTACAGCACATAGTCCCAGTAGGCAAATAGTTTGTTTGGAATGCAGTCAGTGAATATGCAAAGAAAAGCAAGACCCATCCCTCCGTAGTTGGTTGCAGTCCTTGGGAGAGTGGTCCCCCCACCTTGCCTGGGCAGCACAGTAGCGCTGGCCCTGATGGTGTGAGCCTGGGTGAATTGGCCTTGCCCCTCGCCTGGGCAGTGTGGGGAATGTTGAAAGAGTAGAAGGCAGATATGGAGGGATAGAGAAATAAGTGGGACTGGGGTACATGAAGTGAAATTCAGAAAGAATCCCTAAAAAACTTAGAAAGAAAGAAGAAAAGCAAGAGTTATCAACTCACACTGGCAGATTTACCAGTGGATGTATTCTTGAGTGTGTTAGATCAGGAAAGAGCTCATGCAGGTCCCAAAGGGTTCACTGGGGCATCTAATGGTGCTTCCCTGTTTGGTGAAAACGAAGACCTAGCAATGATAACTAAAGAGAAAGAGCTCAGATACCGTTGGGATGAAGGTTTGGGTTACCCCACCTGGTAGTCTCCCTAGATCTGCAGAAGTATTGGCAAAGAAAAACAAATCTAGAACAGCTGAGGGAAGAGGCTGCAATGACTTTTAAGTGTTTCAGTTAGAGTAAGCTTGAACTATTTCCCTCAGTATCCAGCCTAGAATAGTTCCAAGTTAGTCAGTCAAGGAGGGAACATGCAGCTTGGAAGGCAGCAAGCAGCAGCAGTCAATGTGGATTGAAACATGCTTGTACTTGCTTCTCTGCTCTCAGATCAGTTCTTACCTGAATGCAACTCTTGTCACCACTGGCTCCATGGCCACCACTAAATACATGGCAGTGGTTCCCAGGTCTCTCTTCACAGCTGCATTTTAGCAGCTGGCTGAGCTTGGCTTCCCCAGTTCCTAACCCATCCAGACCCTGCCATCATTCCTTTTAGTATTTTGTTTCCTCAGCTTCACCCACAACAATGTAAAACTTAGTTCTGATAATAAAAATGAGTCAGAGCTTCCGGTCAGTTTTGGTAGCTGAACTCTGGCTAATTCTATCATC